ATAACTTTAAGAAAGTAACAGACTTTCTATCGTTCGAATTTTTTCCAAACGACCACGTTGTGGATGTTCAACGTGGAATCGTTGTTTGCGTAATATTTATCATCCTCAATATCCTCCAATGAGATCTAGACGATCACAAATGAGAGTAATTTGACTCTCGAGAAGTGTCTACTATCGGTCGGATCGGATCTACTGTTTGCATAAGAGAGATCTGCAATGGTTAAACAGAAGCATTAATACAACACAAGTTAACATATGCTCATCCAATTATAACTATTTTCAACATATCATTTTAATTAAATTTTAATTTGGAATATATTTTAAATAAATATTGCTACGAGACTACGTGGAGAGATGCGAATAAAATGTTATAAGTTACGAAAGAAAGGTTTTCATAACTTACGACATTTCGATCTTTTATATTTCATTTTTGAGTTTTCGATCTTTTATATTTTATACATTATCGATGATTAATAAATCTTTTATCCTTTATTTTAAATAAATAAAATAAAATTTACATTAACAATAATAAAAATTTATACGATTTCGTTGTAGTTATGTCTTTATAACGAAAGAAACGAAAAAATTTAATTTTAAAAGTTATTAACAAAATCGATTTTATTATAACAATATTATTGCAATATTTAAATAAATAAAGAAGAAATTACGCTTGAAAACGGTGTTGGTTTCAAGTTTCTACGATTTTTCGTTCCGAAAATATCGCCTTCGAAAGATTTCCATTCATTATTCGTATATTACACATGTTCGTAGTAATAGTAGTAGTAAGCGGACGTAAATTCTCGGAATTTATATAGGTCAGTGTGTCACCGAACCGAAATGAATGAAATTATATAGGTTAGTAGACCAATGTAAACGTATTTCATTTATATGGGAATATCTCTGAAAGTAGAAATCGTAGAGACTTGAATGAACTATCATTTTAAAGGGCAGAATTTTCTTTATTTTTTTTTCAAAATATTGTTAACAATTAATTAACAATTTGTTATAAACAATTTTTATAAATAATTTCTTAGAAAGTAAATTTGCATTATTTCGCAAAAACAGAAAGAAATTCAAATTGCGATTGTTTTATAAGATTACATAAATTAATAAATAATCAATAAACAAATTATTTTTTTTATTAATAACCACGTTTTCCATTTACATAGGAATATTTCTGGAACTAAAAGTCGTAGAGACTTGAATGGACTATCGTTTTAAAGAGTAGATTTTTCTTTATTTAACAGCATAACTAATTAACAATTTGTTATAAACAAATTCGTTTTACTTTGCTAAGTAAAAATTCAGATTGCAAACAACTAATTTATAAAATTATATAAATTAATAAATAATTAATAAACAAATTACTTTTTTTGTATCAAAGAAATAATTTTCTTCTATATTATTAATATTCACTTATTCAATTTACGTGTGAATATCTTCGGAGGTAATCAAAAATATAAGAATGATTCAAAAATTATTTTTTTACAAATTGTAATTTTTACGGAATTATCTTTATAAAAATATTCCCGTAATAATTATCAATATATAGATAAATACGTATGTTCATCGATTATACTCATACTGATTATACTCATTTTGATAGTTAATGTCGTAACTAGTAGCCCATCCCATCGATATTTTTAGTAAGAAGAAGGAACCTTTCATTGCGATATTCGACTCATCATCGTACGATCATTTGTCGTCACTGCGTAAAAAACGCCACGAGAAAGCGACAGTGGCCTTTTGTGTCGATAGTAAGGTCGTAAAACATACACGTGTATGAGACAGCGCTACACATATCATATATAAATATATACACACACATACACACATATAGATATACGTCTCCCTTTCTTCAACTCTATCTTTTTTTTTATCTATCGATTAATTACATCTTTTCTATCCTTTTCTTGGAGTCAAAGAAAAGAAGAAATCTTTGCATAATGCTTCCGAAGCAACAGCCGGCAAACAAAACAAACGATTACGTGTTGGCTTGTATAGTTTAAGTGAGAACACCAAAAATCGCCTTTGGCGTATAGCTTTCTTTCTCTCGGAAATCCTTCAGTGTCGGTCGACGGCTAACTACCACATCCTTTCTCTCAATAATTAGCCGAATCAGTGCTTTAAAGAAGTAACTTTTGTTGCCTTTCGCTGATGAACACGTTAATATATACAATACTATCTTAATCGTGACGTCATTTTTGGTTACATACGTTAATCGTTTTGGCAAGACTACAAGGATATTTTAAATAGAATAATTTGTGAAGATCCAACAATGTGTGTGTGTATGTGTTTATGTCTATATAATCGAAATTTTATTGTTATATAATGTACAAATATCAAAGAGAGAATCGTTGTTATTTGGAAGGAAATTTCGCAAACAGATCAAATGGAAATGATCTTTTACCTTGAGTTGACCGTAACCTTCGTCCTTTATGCAACATGCTTTTTTACTGTAAAACCGGTGCAAATATTCATGCGTAAGAAGGATCTCGCGTTTAAACTGTTACATATATTGAGCGTATGTATATTTCCGTATATATTACCTTCTATAAAATTGTTTTTAAATGGAGAGAAAAAAAAGCTTGAGAAAAGAAAGGCTGTGAAAAGGATAAAAGAGAATATTTTTAGCTTTTCTTTTTTCTTTTCCTTTCTTTTCTTTTTTTTTTTTTATTTTTCTTTTTTTATTACATCGACGTATTTTGAAGATAATTTCGTTGAGGAGCATATTTAATTTTTTTCATAGATATTATTCATGTATGTATGCGTAAATATGTAAATATGTAAGGGTAAACTTTTATGTTTCTTTCATCATAGCGTAATTATGAACAATTTTAACGAGTACTGCGTTATTTACTGTAGTTGAATATACTTGACACAGGTAGCACCGAGATTATAGTAAAGTACACGTAATTTATATCGAAAGATCGTAATTTATATCGAAAGCTAATACGCTACCCTTTTATCCTTTCAATTCTTATTATTTTTTATGCATCTTTTAATAAATCCATTGGAAAAGTTACAAATATATCTATTAAATATTTTTCTTAATTATTTCTGTTAAATCATTATGTATAAAACAGATATGTTTTAAACGCACACAAATCAATTACATTTACAAATTTATACGAATAATGAATATTTCTTATCGTTATACGATGCAATCAATTTTCGAATAACATTTATTCATTATATTCATTGTATTGGTTTGAATTATCTGAATACAAATTTAATAAGATAATAGTTTTATCAGATGTAGATTGACCATAATTTCATTAATTTTTATTTGAAAAAAAAATTTGGAGAATCTCTATTTTTATATGGAGAAAAAATAGACGCATCGAATAACGCATTGACTCGTTACAATGTGAGCCTTTCACTTCTATCGTCTTCATGTGCACACATTGGTTAAAGGTCGTTTATATCGCCAAGTCTATCCTAATTCTTTCTCACGTATACTTTAGCGCGCCCTATCGATCATGTAAAAAGAACTCGTTTCTTATTTTGGTCGTTCATTTATCTAACGTGTCCTTGTATAGAAATATATATCTGGTTGAAAATAATCAAAAGATTTTATACATGTTATTTGATAGGTATAGAAAGAAAATAAATAGATAGAAACGATCAAATTTTTAATAATTTATACCTAAAGATTCTTCTTTTTTTTTTTTTATTTTTGAAAGATTTATTTAGTTTTTGTAAATATTCTTTTAATAATTTTTATAATTATAGACACGAGAATGATATAAATTGTAATATAAAAATAAGATCAAAAGATTTTATACGATATAAAAATAAAATAAAATCTCTCAATTTAATTCTTTTAATAATTTAAATGCTTAAAAAAATTTACGCAAAATTTATTGATTTCTTAAAGAATATTTAAAAACGTACTTATGCGAAAATAATTTTAATTCTAATGCAAATTTATATTTACAAATTTCAAACGTGTTACTTGATATATAAATAGAAAGATCAATCTATAATTATTAACAAATGCAACATTTGTGAAATTATTTACAAGAGTTATTTAATATAAAAATCTTCTAATTTAATTATCATAATAATTGAAGATTAGATATAACATTATCGTCTTTTGGGAACAAAAATTTCTTGTTATTTTCTCATTAATCGTGCTTAATATCGATCGTTCATCGTTATACATTAACTATAGTGGGATCTTGATAGATCGCACGAGTGAGTGCGAACGCTAGTCGCACGAACTTTGTTTTTAATCCTCGAGAGATCGTTATCTTCGCTACGAGTTCGCATTGAATAATTCACTTTTACAAATTAATATCCCAGAGAAAGAGAGATAAAGAGAGAGAGAGAGAGAGGGAGAGAGAGATAGTTTGGAATAGAAAAAGTGTCGCTTTCATAGGTTGAATCTTACTTAATTGTTAAATTTGTATCGATCCACATGACTTTTTCCCTAAACAAGCTGAGAGAAAAATTTCGACTTTAAGATACTATCGAACCTTTTAATGAAACAATGTAATAACATAACTAGACAATCTTTTCATTTCATCTCACTGACATTATTTGACTTATAAAATCATTGGATCGAATTAAAAATGAAATCGAATGAAAGCCTCATTGATAATAATAATTAGTAATATAGATATCAATAATTTTATCAGCCACTAACATACATATATATATATATATATATATATATATATATATATATATATATAATATACACCTTATTATAATATAACTATACCTAGAGATAATAGAGAAAATAATGCGTATCGATTATTCTTAATAATAATTGTAATAGTTTCGTGAAAATCATAATCGTGTCGTTGTTATTTTATGTCCGACCTGGAAATGTAAAGAATATGATCTCGAGAATTATTTTAGTTGTACATAAGTCCTAACGCAATTTCATCAGAAGATCGTTTTTTCACTCTCGCTGATGATAAAATTACGACGGCACGGTGATGGCATGGTCTTTCTACAACGTAGCTAGGTAAGGGGGCACAATACCTATATAAAGCTTGAATGAAGATGCTCCCAGGTATTCGCTCTCACCTTTCTCATAAGCTAGCGCGCGGTGGAACGCGAATCTTTCGCCGGCGGAATCGCGAGGGAAGATCAACGCTATTTATCCACTGGACACGACTCTTTCTCTCTGCTCAAAGGATTTCACTGCCAGGTGAGCCAAGTTTCGAATCGGAGAAAATATTACTTCCTTCCATGTGATATCTACGTCGGTCCATCTTACAAAATCCAGTGAAGAAGAAAAAAAGAAAAAAAAAAAAAAAAAGAAAAAAAAAATGAATTAATACTTGGTGCTGATTCGTTCGGAAATTTATAAACGTTTGATCCTTTTTACGTGTGCCATGATATCTTTTTTCCTTTTTACGACAAAAATATTATGATACATTTATAACAGTCAATATTAGAACATTGGATGTACTTAGAAGGGATAACTTCTTGTGAATTTCATTCATTCATTCATTCTGTCTTATTTATTTTGACCTAGATAAATAGAAATTTTTGGTAACTTCAAACTCATCTCTTTCATCAAATCCCTCTTATACATTCAAAAAGATCGTGTATTTTCATCTTTTCACAAGTATAATACAAGTTAAATCTTTGGTGTCATTCAATTCATAAGAACCATAAGGACGAACTCAAAAAAGAAAGTGTGTTACTCTTATATGTTATTTTGTTCAAGTTAAAATGAAGCGTAGCAGTCCGTATATTTGACGATTCAATGTTAAGTACGTTAATCTAAACCACGAGAAATAAAAAAGTTTTTACTTCTGAAAGATACCCTATCTAAAGGCAGAATGTATGTACATATGTATGTGTGTCTACCGTACATAGTATGTTGACACGTTCTAGCGAGAGTGAGAGAAACCGAGAAGAAGGAGAAACGATAATGATCGATCGTTTGGTCACGACGTGTCGTGAAGAAAGTGAATACATACACGCATTAAATATATGGATTATAAACCATATATATATATATATATATATATATATATATGTACATATGGTGATTATTAAAAACTTGCATTAATAGTGAACGTTTTCTTTTACAATCAACCATAACAAAATTATTTAAAGCATTGTACATTATTATTATTATTTTCTTTCACTTATTTCCTACAATTTCGAAAAGTGTAAAAAAAAATAAAATTTTATAGAGTTTACGATTCACGTTGTATATATTCATGAGAAACGTAAATAGTTTATGTATGTACCAGACGAAGACAAAAGATGCACCTACCGTACATATATATATATATATATATATATATATATATATATATGTATGTACATACATACATATACTATTTATTGCACGTAGAACATAGCTTACATCGTTCGTTGTAGAATATATTTTTTCTTTTGTTAAACGGTGAACAAGACGTGAGTTGGATTTCGTAAAGTAAAGTAAAAGAAATAGAAAAGCATACCAAGTTTCTTTTAAAATAGATACTATTAAGAAATAAGTGTTTTTCTTTATTTAGCACTTTTTACACCATTTTTTATATGTTTGTATATACTACATATATATATATATATATATATATATATATATATATATATATATATACATTTTAGGCTTGCAGTTGGGATTGTAATTGTACTATTTGAACAAAAAAAAAATTGACCGGAAAAGTCTCGAAAAAGAGTAATTCATATTTAAAATCACTCGGAAACTTTTGACCCATTCGGTATAAAAAAAAAAAAAATCATTTTAAATTGAAAAAAACACAATTAAATTTATTGGTTCGATGACTGAATTTATAATTAAAATTTTATTTGTATAAAATCTAATTTTGTTCTCTATTTGATCCAAACTCGTCTAATTTTAACTACTATTGAAACTGTTTGGAAAGTTAACATCGTAAGCATATGTTAAATCGAATACTTGTTACGATTCAAAATATCGTATCGAATATGCGTGAAATGGGTGCCGTTAGTTTGAGATTAATAGAACTTCTATTACGAACTATTATCAACGATAAGAAACTATATATATATATAGAAAGAAAATAACCGATGTAAAAAATTTTTAATGTAACAATTAACAATGAAACACGTACAAAATTTTATTGGATTTTTCTTTTTTATATAAATTTATATATATGTATAATTATATGTACATATATATATATAATTGTTTCTTTATTGTTATATGATAAGAATGTTTAATTGGCATTTTGAAAAAAAATCGGATATAAATCAACATCATCTCTGTTACTAAAAAGAAAAAAAAAAGAAGAAGAAGAAAAGATGGATAAAAAAAAAACATAGTCGTGCCATTTTAAAAGAAAAGTTTCAAAATACCTATTCGCGTGAATCGATCGTTGGCATTTAGAAACGAGTATTAGCATGCGTTTTGTCGTACTCGAGCCGTGCGTTGATAGAAATGTTTAAAGAGAGGGAGAGAGAGAGAGTGCATAACGAGTGCTTCAATAATACCGAAAGTTTCGAAACTAACACGAAACTGTTTGGCGATCTTATAGAATATTGGGGATTACATTTATATATATGTATTTTATATATATTCTAAAAAATAATATAACGAGGGAATCGATACTAAATGTATCGAATACGAAAGAAAAAAAGAAAAAAAAAAGAAAAAAAAATATAAAAAAAAAAAGGAAAGAGAAATTAGGAAAGGATGAATTTTAGTTTCACCGAATAAATCGTTTCTAGTTGATCTATGTTAAAAAAAAAAAAAAAAAAAAAGAAAAAAGAAAAAAGAATAAAAAGAAAAAGAAAATTTACAAATGAACTTTCCATGGGAAACTTTTTTTTCTTTGTACTCGATCGATCGCGACAAACGTTCAATGAAATTCTATGATAAGTCGATACTGTTAAATTAATTAATTGCATATTAGGTATCTTCTCGAGATAGAAAACACATATAATTCTCCTTTTTCGTTGGCAATGAATCTTCCTTAGCGTTCTTGTGTCAGTGAAAAAGGAAATCAATGTCCTCCTGACCCAGACCTATCGAACGTAACAGTTTTCTCGTAGAGATCAAAGAGCTTTTTGCTTGCTACTATCCTATAGATCAGCGTCTCTCAACCTTTCTGTCCTTTTGCGATCCATTAGATTTATATGTAATGATACCGCGGGATAATATATATAAAATATGCATAATATATAGCAAAAATATTATACAAAAATTATTGGAAAATCTTTTAGAAATTAATCCGTTTCTTAGCTTTGAACGTAAAATGGCAGATATCGTTTCGCATTGAGAAATGCTGCGATAGACTACCAACTATCATCGTAATAGCTGAAGCTATCATCGATTATTTCCATTAACAGTGAACTTACCAACACTTTCCTCTTTCTTATATAATTTCTTATGTATTTTTCTTCAAATAAACACGAAGACTCCCATTTTTCTTTTTCTTTTATATTCATTTTTTGTAAAATTTTTAAATAACATTGGGGTGATGCAATTTATGTTTCACGCTGTATACACTTATATATATATATATATATATATATATATATATATATATATATATATATATATTTATGCACAGTGTATACGTGCATAAATATCGAATAAATTGAATTAATACCTTGTAAATATTTATATTATATTATATTATATTATATAGTACATATATATTATGTATAAATAATATATAATATAAAACAAAATACAAAATATTTCTCCGTGATTTGTTTGTAATTTGTTAAAACTCGGAATAGTTATATAGCAAATGTATAAAATCAATATACAAGTATCTAGTGTACAAACAGAAATGAAATAATCGCAATCGAACGATCTATTTCACGCGACATATTTAAACGTAGCCAGATGGAAGGTGGCATCGAATGAGGAAACTAGAGAGAAATAAAGACGGATTTGTAGATTACATTTAGAAGAATAATGATCGTAGCCTCAGCAGGCGATTCCAAATATACCATCTTGGAAGGCGCGCTCGTTATGAAACCGAGCACGTAATGCAGATAATAAAAGAGTTAGTCAGACTCGTTATTAAAATTCTTGAAAACGAAATGTAAGGTAGACGGACGAAAGAGAGAAGAAAGATGAAAAGGAAGAAGTGAAAGAGAAAAAGAAGCAGAAAGAAGAAAAAAAGGGGGGAGGGGAGAAAAAAAAAAGAAAAAAGTAACAAAAGGAAAAAAGAAAAAAGAAAAATGAGAGGTAGAAGAAGGAAAGAAAGAAACCGCAGGAACGATCTCAAGTGCGATCTTGCTTAATCGCTTGGAAGTAGCTCGTAACCGCAGAGATGCGCGCGTGAGGACGCATCTCGTCCTCGAGAGGATTTCGCACGATAATTACACGCTCGGCGAGGTCCCTCGATACGATTCCCTCAACTCATAGTTACGATATCGCTTAGATACCTACTCGTCTTTCGCAAAGTCCTCGTGTACCTGCACAAACCGTTCTTTGCACTCGCTTAGGCCGCTTCGCTAATTAGCCGACAGTCCAATTTAATTAACGTGGTTCTATTAATTTTATTCGCGGGAACAGGTTGCCTAGAGGAGACACCTACGACTACTTACAACGAATCGATTCGTTTCTAATACACGCAAAAATTGTACATTCGCTCGATTCATTTTCATATAACAGTTCTTATTATATATTTACAATTTCCTTTTTCCTTTCTTTTTTTTACGCGTTATTATTCTCAATAAATAAATAAATAAATAAATGTATATATATATATATATATACATATATATTTTTTATATTGATAATAACATTTGACATTCAAGAAAACTTTGATGTTATCATGGAACTTTTTTCTCATCGCACACAAATACGCACACAAACTCAATCTACTTTTGGATTAATTACTAACGAGATAAAAGAAGAAACATTTTCTAAAATTATTATTATTTAATTTGTCCTGTTGATAAAAATTTTAAAGAAATTTAAATTGGATTAGATCTCATAGAAGTAAGAAATTAAGATTAGATTAGAAAGTCGTACCTGTGCATTTACCGAATGAATTGATGAATGAATCGATGCTCTTCTCTCTTTGGATCTTGAATTTCTCTCTCTCTCTCTCTCTCTCTCTCTCTCTCTTTTACTCTCTCGACTTCTCTTTCTATGTTTCGAGAGCATCTCGATGTCTCCGTGTATACTATCTTTTGCTTGCTCCTACGATCTACGAGTACCACGAGAAGATCTTTTCCCTTCGAGACTGCGAGACTTTCACCTTTCACCTCGGTCGAGCACGATTCTTCGATTCTTTCCATTGACTTTTCGAACTCTAAATCAGCATTTTTTGAATCATGATTCTTCGATACACCGAAAAGGAATAAATATTATGCTGCATAGAAACAACGTTTTACTATTGAAAAATGACGAACAATATATCCGTCATACAATATTCCACGAATGTTTTCTTATTAAATGTTTTCGATTAATTAATTAAGAAAATCAATCAATTAAATTTCATTTCATCGATATTTATTATTATAATGTTTGTGATAAAATAATTTGAGTTTGTAAAAAAGAAGGATCGATCATTTGATTAAATATATCTAAACTATCAAAATGTTAATGATATAAAGTCATCTTAAAAAAAAAAAAAACAAAAAATAAATATTAATTAAAAAAATGAGAATATATCAAAACTATGCAATAATTTTAATCTTGTTTATCTTGCATTCATTAAAAATGTTTCGAGTCGAGCCAACCACGAAAGTTACAACTAATGTCTCTCGTAACAATTGTGTAGAGCTATAAAAGGAACATTTACACGAATTACCATGAATTTCCGTGGATGAGTCCGTGGCGATGATCATTTTACAAATATTTCGACCTATGTAAAAGCTCGTTAGAATTTGGCTTTTGTGGCAAATAGATATAAGCAATGTGAAAATGACTAAGTAGATATATATGTATGACTATAGGTGCTCGTAACGTTTTAACACTTTATTTATGACTTTCATTCGCTTAATACCGACTTTGCGATGATTTCACTTGCACAAACCATCCGTTCTCTCTTAATCGTTGCGAAATCGCAAACGAATTACCATGTCAAAATGCATCTTTTGCCAACGTACAATTTTTCTTTCGAGATCAAAGTACTCCTTTTGGAGTCTAAAATCTTACAATCTCATTTCACATTTCTTTCTCTCTCTCTCTCTCTCATAATCTTTGTTCCTTATCCATTCACGAGATGCTCATTAAAAATAAGTTATCCTAACTCTTCTCGTTGTAAGTAACGCTTCATAATCGGATATTTTCTCATAAAGTTTCGGGCCGATGGTTGAAAAGTAACTCGTAAGATAAAACCCGATGAGAAATCATCATCTAAATTTTTATGGTTTCCTGTACCATTGCCTTTGAAGGCTGACGTCAACCTTGAGAGGGATCCCAAGCGAAGATTTCATAACTATCGCTTTCTACTTTCGAACTCTGCAAGAGTCACGATCGTTGTCGCATCTTGAGAGTCCTTGAAAACCTTCGTTCCAATTCGTTTTTTCTTTGTCTTTTTATGAATCAAAAAAAAGAAAAAATGCGTTAAAAAATGTAATAATTTTGCCGAATGAAATAATATCGTATAAATAATCGTAAATAGGATATAATAGGATTCAATAATTTTATATCGTTATAGATTTAACTTGAAATGTTGATACCTTTAATCGAATTAATGTCGATTACAGATAAGGGACGATGTGGCGCAGTACGACGTTACTCGTCGTAGCTGTTCTTGGAGCAACGATGGGTCAAGAATACATAGGACATGCCCTGTTCGTGAGAACGTCGGACGACGTCGTCGAAGCTGGTAAGGGAGTTATGGGAGGACTCGTCTCGAGTTCGCTTAGTGTCTCACGATCGATGAAGAGAAAGTAAAAAATAAAAATGAAAAGAATAAAGAGTAAAAGATATAAAAAAAAAAAAAAGTAAAAATAAAAAAAGAGAGAAAAAAGATAGAAAGGAAAGAGAAAGAAAGAAAGAAAGAAAGAAAGAAAGAAAAAAAAACGAGAAGCGACGGGAAGTGACAAATAAGTTGACCAAAAAAAAATCCTTTGAAATCCATTAGCACGCTCGAGAGTCCAGCGAGCCGCTCCAGCGTCGGCTGCAGACGTGATGGCACAAAATATCCTAGAGTGGATTCAAGGGATCTACCGACAGGGCGCACGTAAAAGTAGGTTCTCCTTTCGACGAGCGAGAGGATAACGGCGAGTTCTCTAAATCACGCATCATTACGCTATTCTTTTTCTCTCTCTCACACACACACACACACACACATGCACACACTCTCATTCTCTCTCTCTCTCTCTCTCTCTTTCTCCCCATATTATAATGTATACGAGATAATAAACGAACGCTCGTTCATACGTACGCAGAAATACTTATCTAGCAAACCTATCAAAACTTCACGTTTATAATGCACACTCGACACATACGATGCAACACGTACACATACGAACATGCTTCACCGTAGTTTGCTTATATTAACTATAAATAATAATTCTTCCATCTCAGCGATCACCGCGCCGATCTACAAGACGAATCGGACGCTCTTCAAAGACAGGGGAACATCCAAATCAACGTCTCGTTGCATTCTCGCGATATTTCCTTTCGTTTTATTCGATTTCCTTTATCCTTCGCATACTCGAGAATTATATGTGTGTATATATATATTTATACATATAATATATTGAGGATCGAAGCGATAATAAAAGAACAAGTATCTTCGTTCTCGATGAGTTTGTATCTTTTTTCAGTTCGCCAACAATCGGACAACGCCTACCTGCCACCGTATAGTACCCAGAGACCTCCGGAAAAGCCTCGACCTTTCCAGCCGGCAACCAACCAACAAGAATCGGCTTATTCTCCGAGTCAGAATGAAGTGACCAATTATCCTTATCAGAGACCGTCCTCCTTGTACACGCCAGCTAATGTACCTCATTCGTTACCTCCCAACGTTGACACTTCTTCTCATGGTTTATCAACGGCCAGCACTCTCTACGGTTCACCTACCAGTTTACGTCCATCCTCTACTTACATCCCTCAAAATAATTATGGGAGTTCTCCGACGTTTAATCCGCGACCACCATCTTCCTATGTTCCGGCATCTTCTACCTTCCCTCCTTTCGGAGGTACAACCGGCCCTTCCAATTATCCATCCGCGGAAACGAGACCTGGAACTTTCCCTTCCTCGACGTCCCCAACGTCCCAATCGTCTACCTATTTGCCCCCGCAATATAGTGGCTTCCCGTCGAGCAATCCAAGGTACGCTAAAATGATTCTTCCTTTTAGCCTTTTAATAGCATCGCTCAGACTCGAAACGAGCTACTTTCCTATATTTCCTAAGCTTTATTGTCCCGGTGCACGCGAGATCGGAATGGAAAAAAAGAAAAAAAAAAAAAAAAAAAAAAGAAAGAAAGTACAACGTTGCATAAGCCGACTTTGAAAGAGTATTAAATGTTATTCAAGTTAAATCGACAATGCGATTGTTCTGGTCTGACGTAACCAGCAAGAAAATAAATGTTTAGCAATTATTTTCTTCTTTTGTCAATAGCACTCCAAGGCCACCGTCGACAGCATTACCACCAAAAGTCTCGCAACCAGTTGGTGGTTATCCTTCTCAACCAGGTGGTTTCTCGACGACGTATTTACCGCCAAAAACCAGCGCCTTTCCTACCAGTACACCAACCTTCGGCTCCGCATCTCCATCAGCTGGTTATCCCTCTCCTGCTGGTTTTACGACCCCTTATGGATATACCTCTCAAAGACCAGGATTTTCATCGACCGGCACTGTATCGGGTAGTACATACGATTCGCAGGGTGGTTACGTTTCGCAGCCATCTCCTACACCAGGATTCCCTACACCTATCCCAACGGGCACCATAGACGGTTCCGCTGGTTATACTTATTCGACTCCTGGCGCTACGCCTTCCCCGCCATTCCCTACGCCCATTGGAACGCCGGATATTAATACTGGTGGAGGAACAACGGGTCCTGGTGGAACTGGTACAACTGGGACTGCTGGGACTACTGGGACCGGTAAGATTTTATTGCTCTTTTTCTTCGCCTCCTTGCACCTTGTCTTTCAGAATTTCGTTTATCTTTCGTAACTACGCAGGCGTAACGCAGGTCGACGAGACCGACGATGATCTCAAACATCCACCCCATATTCATAATATCTCGGTCGAATGTGGGAAGACGATGATGACGATCAACATCGAATTCAATCGAGCATTCGACGGTGTGATTTATTCGAAGGTAATGTTATTACGTTATGGGTTAGTAAAAAAAAATAGAGAAAGAGACAAAGAAGATCTTTTGTATTTTTAGGGCTTCTTCATGAATCCAGATTGTCGATACGTTGAAGAAAATTCTGGAAAAACTGAATATTCCTTCACGGTTAGCTTGGATTCTTGTGGTACACAATTCATCAATGACTTCGAGGGTGAGGCCGGTCAAGCCTATCTCGAAAATGTCTTGGTCTTGCAGGTTCGTTCTTCGCCATCTTAACAATGATCATTATGAATAGTTCGAACGGCGAATGCATTTATTCTTTTATTATCAGACATTTAAACTAAAATCTTTACAGAACGAGCCAGGGATACAAGAGGTTTGGGATACAGTGCGACGAGTACGTTGTCTTTGGGAGGGTAACATCAATAAGGCGCTTTCGGTAAATTTATCCGTAGATATGCTCAATCAGGAGATCGTGACGTTCAGCGGTGATACGGCGGTGGCTAAATTAGACATACAAATTGGAAAAGGTCCGTTCGCTCCGATAGCCGATGGATTGGTTAAAATTGGAGAGACCATGACATTGGTCGTAACCGTGGAAGGAGATCCTGCTTTCGATCTTCAGGTTAGTCTTGAATATATCTATACAATTGTCCAATCACGAAACTATAAAAAATATTTGATCAAAACGATAAGTCGGATAAAAATAATTCTGGTTAAGTAATTCGTCCATATTGATTCTGTTTTCTAATCATTCGTGAAATAAAAATAACACATTGAGAAATATATCGGTAGACACGAAATTATTTTACTCGATAATATTTATGTGTGCCTCAACAATTACTTTCATCTCGCTTATCGTTTTTACTAATTTTTAATGATCAAAACTTGGCACATTGACTAACTATTCCTATAGATACATAAATCATTGACGAATTGTTACGTAGACGAATAAATAATCAAATTGTTTCTATTGTTTTGTCGTAAGTACACACTACACATTACTTTATTCTGTTGACGTAGGTACGCGATTGCGTTGCACGAGACGAGAGCTCTACTAACACCCTGCAGCTTACAGACGAACGTGGTTGCATACTTAAACCAAAATTATTTGGAGCATTTCAAAAAACAAACGATACGGGGAATACAGGTGCCTCGATTATAGCCTATGCATTTTTCCAAGCTTTTAAATTCCCCGATGTGATGGATTTATTCATCGAATGTAACGTGGAACTTTGTAAAACGGATTGTCAAGCTTGTCCAGAACCAAATCAAGTGCGTATTATAACTCTACTAATATATTATAGCTATACTAAAACGCATGCATACGCTTCATACAACATTCGTATATTTTCTGTTCTCTTTTTAGCAAATCGAACCAGGTAGAAGACGTCGCTCGGTATCTTATGCACCTTCGAACACGTCAATGGCACCACTATTGACAGATCCAGTTAGAGTTGGACGTGGTTTCAAAGTCATCATGCTGGATGACCTTAGTGCAGTCAGTAATCAAGTGTTGGAGAATATCGAAGAGTCGTCCTTTGTAAATGAAGTTTCGAAAGAGGAGAACATTTGCATGAGTAATAACGGTTTTTATGCTGCACTTTCACTCATGTTGGGTACACTTATTTTAATGACCGTTAGCGCAGCAGCGTTGCATATAAAATTGCAAAGAATTTATAGGTCTAAATCCATCGATACGTAGTAAAATGTTTAATTTCTTTTTTCCTCCTATAAGACGAATCGCGTGATTAGCACGAGCAACAAAAACAAAGTGAATTAATCAATCGACATAGCGATCGAAAGACTATCATTATAAACTAAGATTAATTTTCTCACATGGTATTTAATTTATAATCCAAAGTATTAGGAATGCAAAGAATTTCATAGTATATAATATGTTCAAAGTGCTCGCATCCTGTTATTCGCGATGAGAGCGCGTTAGAACAGCCATACGTTACATATCACTGATGACTCTACGGCATTTTACATGGCCGTTTTTGAATATATAATATATACGATATGATACAATAAATTATGATACTCTTAGGTACACACCAATTTTGTCATTCCTTTATGATAATAAAAACGGCGTGTGTAACATAAATTATACAGGAATATTTACAATGTTTATTATATGTAATATACAACGTCAAAAAACAAAAAAAAAAAGATAAAGAAAGAGAGAAAGAGAGAGAGAGAGAGAGAGAGAGAGAGAGAGAGAGAGAGAGAGAGAGAGAGAGAGAGAGAGAGAGAGAGAGAGAGAGAGAGAGAGAGAGAGAGAGACAGAAAAAACAAAAGAAAGAAAGGAAAAAGAAAAAATCATTACTAAAAATGCATTACCGCAAACCCGATTTTATATCTCATTTATATATTATATCGATTAATGTCAATTCAACGAGTAGTTGTATTTTTGGTAAAACGCATCACATACAAATGTTCTCCTCTAACTTTCCTTTCTTTTACAACAGTTCCTACCATATCGAAACGTTTTAACATTTCTAGGATATAATTCGGATCATTTTCTTTAATAACAACGAGATAAAACATTCCAATATTCGATAATAATTTAGGAATGTGCGGAAATACTCGTTCCATAACTTCTCTCCCATGATTTCCACCGGCCCATGTTTTAAAAACTAATCTTTTCTCCGTAACTTCTTTGCTCTCCGTTAATACATACGGCGGATTGAATACAATAATATCGAACGTTTGCTCGTTACGTATATTATTTAATAAATCCATTTGTATAACATTTATATCAATCAAATTAATGTTACCGGTTCTTTTTGTACTTTTACACGCATTGGGATTAATATCAATCGCCAAGTAATAACTTTGACTATACTTATTCAATGCCATTGCCAATGCAGTTATGACTATACCAGATCCGCTACCAATTTCTAAACAGACAATTGGTTTGATAACTTTCAAACACTCCAAATCACTCTCCAAAGCATCTATTAAGAGGAAAGAATCCTCTGCCGGTTCATAAACAGTTTCAAGATCCTCGTCGGAGAGTTTTACTATAGGAGTATCCATTATCATTTAACAAGAAAGTCCAAGGAAACATATAAATCAATCGTATCCGAATTATTCCCTTTGACAGGAATACAACGACAAGAGAATCTTTTAATGCGCTAATATTTAATTTTCTCCACCTTCTTCTTTTTCTTGTATACTGGAAGTACTACTATACATAGAACTATGATCCAATAACGCCTTTCTCTTTGCCGTATTTCTTTCTACAGCCTGATGAAGTTTATTTATTCGTTCCTGAGTCGTTTGTAAGATGTTGCTTACAACTGTTATTTTTTGCTTAGCATTTATAAGCTTCTTAACGTAAGAGTCAGTCTCGAACGGGGACTGAAGAGCCTCGTTGATTCTCGTTAATACGTCTGTCAGTGATTCAATACGCTGCTTCAATTCTATCTGACATATTCTACAAGAGAGTAAAAAAATAATATCTTCGATCGAATTTAAGAAATCCTAAGATTTCTCTTGCTCTACGAGCGGACATATAGGTTATATAAACATTTAACTAAAGATTCGTATACCTCGTAGCACGAATTCTTTCATCCAACTGATCGACGGTTGGCTTCAGTAAACTCATTAAACCTTCTGTCAGAGCATCCCTAGTTGGATTTTCACAAAAATCATCTATTTTGTCATCTATAGATGTGTTATCGCTCGCGGTATCTACATCCATAGCAGGAGGTGTTGATTCCTCTGTCGACATAATTTAATTTTGATCGGTCTTCTCAACTGGGAATATCAGAATAAATTTCTGAATCGGATTAAATTATTCAACTTTCTCATAAAATTGTAACTATTTATAAAATATTTACCATCTCATGTATGTCAAAATGGACACGAAATAAATTAACCAATAGACTTTCTAATCAATAGGAAATTTTTTTTCATCTCCCGCCATCTAACGGGGGATTTGGCAAACTCGATCAGGACGCCTAGTAAATATCGTAAGCAATGAAATTTTACGAACTGGCTGATAAATTCTCTTGAGCATACGTATCAAGAAAATTTTCTCTTCGTGATTCAATTGAAACTGTACAGTGCAGTTGTTGCGGTATGGCTGACATGGGCTTAAGTTTAGATGACATAATTAAAAAGACTAAACCTTCAGGCATGAGAAACAGAACAGGGTAATGGATTTTTCATAGATCGTTTATTAAAATTTCTTTTTCGTCCTATATTAATAATCGATATTAACCTTAAAGAGATGTACGATATCTCGGAAGAAAAAAAAAATTCCTCTGTCTCTTCAATCAGTATGATGTATCATTTTTAAATTCTTATTGATTGTGAAACGTTTTACTACGTTAGATACATATTTCAAGGTCTATGGTATATTGGAGATAAAGAAAAAAGAAAGAAAAGGAAAAAAAAAAAATTACTTTTCTCATAATACATGATATACTTTTCAAAGAGATATCATTTCATCTTATAATTAATTTATTTGAATTTTTATTACGTCAATGGTGTGCTATGAAGAATTTTATTTTTATTCGTTTAATTTATTACTTACAGTGCCCGTCGAGGCTTCAACAGAGGATCACGCGCCAATGGTTCCATAAGAGGTCGTGGCGCCCATGCTCTCACAGATGCACGTTTCAAGATAATACAAAAGAATCGTGAGAAACTTACGGATGCTAGAGATAAGCTTGCAGAGATCGCTAAACAAAGTGATGCAAGATTGAAATTAGATAAAATACGAGCCTCACATTTGAAAAGGATAGAAACTCAAGTTCCTGGAATATCACGGAAAACTGGTAGAAATGGTAGGCTTTCCTTGTCGACTAATAAAATTCCACCTATGATGCCGCATGTAATGCCACCGAACAACTATATGCCACCACCATCTAGAACGATAGGTTACAGACCCCCTTCTCTAGCAGAATCTCACTATTCTGGTGATATGCCAATTGATTATAATGACGGTATGAATTTTCTATAAAATGGTATGTGCCTCTATATTATATAATAATATTTATTCCGCATATTATTCCCTTATAGATTATGCAGTAGATATCATGCCTTTAAGACGAACTGTCAACAATGATTACGCGCCAACGCCTCCACCACCACCTCCAGTGTTCAGTATTAAACCTTCGTCTCCGTACACATGGGTAAAACCAACGGGTAATAATGTAACAAGGATTGTACCGTCTCGTAAATCCGATGTCGAGAGAGAAAGAGAAAGAGTGAGAGATTATAAAATTATGACGCATCCATTTATGGTGAGTAAAAGAAAAAAAAAAAGCAAAATATTAAAAAAATCGATCGTATGTCTATTAGATTTGTCAAAATTATACTTACTTTATATTATTAGACAAAGACTGTATCTCCTCCTTATAAGGAAGACTGGTCCTTTGGCACAAAATCACGGTAATTATTTGAGAACGATCAAAATCATGAATACTTCGTTTCTCTCTTTTAATTTTAACTTTTTTTTTTTTTTTTTTTTCATTGCAGAACTATTTTAGCCGAAGATTCAATCGATTCGAAGTATTACGAGCCCAGAAGTCAAAGAGATATAGGAGTAAAATCACGTCTTGATTCAATTCCAAGTAAATCAAGAACAATGGATCATTTATCTCGACCCAAAACTAGTTCAAGTTCGTCGAGTCAATCGACCGGTTACAGAATCGTAGTATCTAACTTGCAAGCTAATGTTACTCAAGAGGATATAAAGGAATTATTCGAGGATGTGGGAGAATTGCTTATTTCTAGATTAGTACGTCCAGGAACTGCAGAAGTTATATATAAAACATTAAAGGATGCTACTAAAGCGGTGGAAACTTATCACAATAGACAATTGGATGGTCATCCGATGAAATGTTTACTCGTTAATCCTAGACCAAAAAATAATCCAACTGGTCCAGCTGTCAGATCAATTTCGGAGTAAGTTTACTTACGCGCGTTTTAAGGAAAAAAAAGAAAACTTATTATTGATAATGAAACATACCTTATTCTGTTCCTTTTTTAGTTCAAGACGAAGCGTTAGTTCGAGTTACGTACAACCAAGTTTAGGAGCCGTTCATCGTGCATTATTTGATTATCCTAATTAAATGTATCGGACTTGTACGTGAGGTATTCATATAAAAATTTTAATTATAATGCAACGGCGGTGCATAATATTAGTAAAAAAAGAAAAGAAAAGAAAAAAAAAATAAACAAACAAACAAACAAACAAAAAAAAAAGAATAAAGCAAGAGAAAAGAGTTGACGAAGATATGAAATTAAAGTGACATGAGTGTTGCTTGAATTTTTTTATGTATTAAATTAAATCAAAATAAAATTCGATATCGCGAGCAAATTTACTAGAGAAACAAGAATTTCATTGTTTCATAATTCATTATTCATTAATTGTAATCTCTCTCGAGCGAATCATGGTTTGAAATTGGAATTGTGTTTAGTAATCGAAGATCATTATTATGCCCTATTTCGTTGTATAATAAAAAGAAGAAATAAAATAATAAAACATATGTATGTATGTATGATCTTCTCGGGTTTTCTTCTTTCTTTTTCTTCTTCTTTTAATTTAAATAAAAATTTCTTTTACTAACATTTAAAAATTCTTATTATAATTACGCCGTATAGGTTCTTGTACATAATAACGCAAAGGTAAAGGAATATAGGTTTGCACCGACAAAGAATTTATTAGATTCTTACAAGACGACGACGATGACGATGATGACAACGATGATGATGATGATGATGATGACGATGACGATGACGGTAATGTTGATGATCTCATAATATCATAGACCGTTAATTATTTAAATATAAAAGCTAACATACCGCGCGTACATGCAAGTCCTTTCATGCACAAGAAACTCTCTCATGGGTAATCTCACATAAGTCTAAAAACTTGTCGAAATATTGTAATATTTTTACGATTACAATTTGATGTAACAAATGGCACGTTAGTTGTTTTAGCACTTATGCATTTTGAGACGGGGTTAATTCTTGAAATTTAACGGAACTCGAGCGTAAGTGTCTTTTCTTTTTCCATCTTTCCTTCTTTTATCATGCCCCCTGGGTCGATGGAATGTTCATTCGATAAAAATTAATTAATAAATTATTTGAAATGTCACGTGTGCCGGGATCTCGTAAAAACGAACTTTATGAAAATAGGCGATATAGATACAAAAGATACTTAAAAATTAATACTAACCGCTATTCTCTCTAATACGACACAGTTATTACATAATCGATCGAAATATATATTTACAAAATGTACCTATAATTTAAAATTGTTTTCTTCAATACTGTACCATCACACGAATATGAAATAAGTTAAGTTCTTCTTTTAATACGCTCCTTTATTCTAAACCTAATGAACCTTTGAACATAATCTCACTTGGTTTTCATATAGAAAAAGAAATCTCTTTCTTAAACCATTTCATGTTTTGTCTTTTTTTTCTCTCTTTGTTTTTTCTATGTGTGTGTGTGTGTGTATGTTTATGTATGTATGTGTGTGTGTGCGTGTGAGCGCGCGTGTGTGTTTCGGCGAGTTATAATAATTTAACTTCTATGATGATTCGCTTTGGACTTGTTTGGCATTCTAAGAACCTCGGCATAAGACAATTCGAGACGTTTTAATTTAGCGACTTCTTCGGAGGCTGTGCTAGGTTTATATTCGTTATAATCAAAGGAATGACTATTTTGCTCCGTTGCGTTACGATTTACGAACGTTTGCGATTTTCTAACTGTGTTTGGCGATTCTCTCGTTTTCGACTGATTATATTGAGAACTATTGTTCCAAACGTTAGTACCTTCATGTTCGACCGGAGTCAAAGCTCTAAATCTTCGTCTACCGCCGCCGCTATTAGATTTGGCTTGGACGAAAGTAGGATTCGTAGTTGGCACAATGTTCGGTGTTTTTGGCCGTTCGTTAAATGCCAACTTTTTCGCAGGATTCTTCTTCGCGGACGACCTATTCTTTTTAACGTGTACATTTACGGAAACGAAATCGAGTTTGGCCGCTCTATTATCTAATGTCTTCTCGGTCTTACCAATATCAGATTGAGATTTATCATTAGTTTCTTTCTTCGTAGATTCTTTCGACGTTACGGGCGTTTGCATTTTATAAGGTGGCTCCGAAACAACCGAAGAAATGACCGAGGACATTATACTCTGATTATCATCCGTTGTCTCGCTTGGTACATCGTCTTGTCCAAGATTCGTACTATCATTACGATTTTCTGAATGAGCACTATCGTTGCCACTGCTATTCGTTTGATCATCCAACAAAGGTAACTTTTCACCTTCGTCCTTTGCCTCGGCAGCTCGCTTCAATACACGAAAGATCTCGCTAAAAATTTGTCTATATTCCGGGGTCTTTCTAAATCTACTTTCGAATGGACTGTTATCATCATAAATGCTAAACTTGCAATCCTCGCCGTCGGCAATCGAACAGAGAAATGAACCGGGTCTACCATCTGTTTGTGTTGCCTTATTACTCGTTTCATCCGAGAAACCGGAAGACGATGTTTCCGCCTCGGAAAAATCTGTCGGTGTTGCGGAAAATGCTTTTTTCCCAATATTATCTCCTTTAACGCGTCTACCGCCACCGGCATTATTACCGATCATTCCAGACTTTATTCCACCTTCCTGTTGTAATTCGTTCTCCGTTGATGGATTCTGGAAACAATTGTACTCCCCTGACATCTCGAGTTCTTCTTGAAGCGACATACAACCACCGATCGTTGGAATACTGTTCTTCCTACGAGGTGCCGATAATCTCTGGACTTCTAATAACGCTTGATACTTTTCGACCAATTCTCTGTATGGGTTGGTATTTACCTCGCTCGTCACTCCTGTCTTGTTGTTGTTGCAAGTTTCCTGCGAAAATAAGTCTTTCGTATATACGCGTGAAATGATTACAAAAAAAAAAAAAGAAAAAAAAATTGATAGAGAAAATAAAAAATAAACTTAGACAACATTTTTTTTCTAACTATATATATATATATATATATATATATATATATAAAAAAAAAAAAAAAGAAAGAAAGAATTACTTTCCTTTCGTTAATGCTGTACGAATCTCGAAGGTAATCGACTAGAAATCTTTTTTCTTTTTTTTTTTTCTTATGTCACTTTAAGTTAATGCACATATATTTTCTTTCATTTGCATGTTTTATACGTAAATCTTTTTTTCTTTTCGCTCGAAGGAAAAAAAAAAGAAAATATTATTTTCATGGTTTCTCGGATAAAAGATTGGAAAGGTTTAGGAAACCGCCAGATTTATAGGATATTAAAAAAATACAATGGCATCTTTTCCAAAAATATATATTTTATTTAAGATCATATAAATCTGGCACACTTATACATTGTACAAGATATGATTTTTCTTTTTTTTTCTTTTCCCCCTTTTTTTTTTCTTTTCTTAACACACAAAATCGACTAGACGTACTACTATGTTATTGTTACATTAAAATCATGCTCGAAATGATAACGTAATAAAATTACGAAGTACGTAACAAAGCGAAAAAAAGTACTTATTATATTTAGAATTAATTAAAACAATATTCAAAACGAATTTCAATAATTATTTATCAATTGTGCACGAGCTAATAATTTATTATTATCGTTATACGAAATAATCAACGCGAAAGATTATATTAAAGCTTAATTAATTAAAACTAATTTGTTAATCATTTATAAAATGATGCAGTCTTTTCGTTTTCTTTGGAAATAAGATAGAAAATTACGTCAAAGTAAATAAAAAAAAAAAAAAAAATAAAAAAATACAAGATAATGGATTTAACCTACCTATCTAGAAGTTCGTAAAAAATCATGCACGTTTATTATTTATTTACATAACAAATTTTATCTTTTACTCAATGTTTTTTCCCTCTATATCGTATTTCAATGCTAGAAAAGTTGCTCTAAAAATTAAAACAAAAAGATATATATATATATATATATATATGTATGTATATATATACCTTTCGTCAGTTTATGCTTTCGTTACTTACTTAAAACGTAAGTGCTCAATTATTAATTCATCACTCTATTTAATCCCTAACTTTGATATATCATTAACTCGTTCGCGTGTGTAAAAAATGTAATCCTAAATAGATTTTCAATTACATTTCCACTTTGGAATGGAATTATGAGATTAACAGTAGCGTTTAAATTCTATCTATCAGAAATAAAAATAAAAGGAAGAAAAAAACATTTTTAATCAAGATCAACTAAAGTTTGTACCATGGAAAGCTAATAACGAAGAGTTAAGAGAACAAAAGATTTTTCTTCGTAATTTCAACGTAATCTCGTCATTTATATCATATTATATATATAATATATAATTTTATACAGAATTTGTACGTATTATTTAGAACGTCATATATACAATATTATAATATATATAGTATATATAATATTATTTAATTTTATAATATATAAATTATATAATATTATATATAATATATTTAATTATGCTTTATCCTAAAGATGAAAGAAGCCAAAAGAAAATCCATAGAAAATTAAGCCTTTTTCAATGAACATTGATCTAATCGTACTATGTAGGTACGATGACGATGAACAAAAAAAAAAAAAGAAAAAGAAAAAAACAAGAAAGAAATAATATTTCTAAGCAGAAAACGCAGGCATGCTACTACATTTGCAATCGATATAAAAAGCACAAATGAAAAAATTTTGATGTAACGTAATAAAAGTAGCAATTAGATTGAACGTTTTAAAGCTTTCTCTCTATCAATGATTTATAAACAATGAACGTGTGAATGTGTTTGTGTAATGTGTGACAATCGAATTAAAATGGACACGATGAGCAAAAAAAATAATAATACGACTTCCTATGGATTATTTCATTGTTATTTTTCTTTCTCAAGTGTCCAAATTTTCTCCTTCTTAGAAGAAATTAACGAGAGATTACGAAAGAATAAACGAAGAAAATAAACTATATATCCCGATTTACTATATATTATGTTATATCCTAAATAATTAAAAGTGACCAGACGTTTCGGATTTGAGTTGTTGTTTGTCCCTCATTAAAAACTATCCTGGAAATGACTAATTGACTCAAAATCAATCGATTTGAATAATAAAAATTAAAAAAAAAAAAATAAAAAAAATAAAAAAAAATAAAAAAATAAAAAAAAAAGAAACAGAAAAGATTAACAAAGAAAGATTGAAATAAAATCTGAAAAAATAATCCAAAAAAATTTAATTTTTCTTTGCCTAATTTTATATCCCCGAAATGTGTTAAAAATCATATTCCCTAAATAATTTTTCTCCGAATATATAACGGTAATAATTTTCTTAATATAAACAATGGTATCCGAAATGGTTTCAGTAGCAACGGTATGACGCATTCGTCTTTGATGTAAGTTATCGTGTCGTAAACGATATGCATCAGTGACGGTGCGTTCCATATATAAGTGAAAATCCTCCATAACAGGCAAACAAATTCTTTACGTTCTTTTTTCGCGCTGCTTTTCATTAACTTTGTTGGGATCGATTCCTAAAGCAAATAAAAGTGAATATTACTTAATTTAAGCATAAGATACGAGCATGAAAAGAGAGAGAAAGAGAGAAAAAGAGAGAGAGAGAGAGATGCATCTAAAAAAATAAATATATTTCATCCAATTAAGATCGATTGATTTTTTCCAATTACTTGTCATGCTTATATAATCGATTTTGTTGAGTCGATCGTTGCGAAAAAATAAAAAAAGATAAAAAAAAAAGAGAAAAAAGAAAAAGAAAAAAGAAACAAAAAAGAAAGAAATAGAATGAAATTGCAATTAACATACATGTATTACTGTATTGCTGTATGTATAACTGTCCGTCAAATGTAACAATCCAGATTATTATAACAATAATATTCACGAAGAATAAGAAAGGAAAGTCATATATTCATGTGTAAGATGAAAATAAAAATATATTCACTTCCGCGTACTAAAGATTTCTTTTTGTTCCATGCAGAAAGTTTAAAATGCAATTTCTACGTTTCAATGTATGGAACTAACGTAACGATAAAAAAAGAAAGCGAGTATGTGTGTATACGGACCAGCATCCTAAACTTTGAATTAATGAAATAAATACATTCATGCCTGCACGGAGCGATAACGAATGTGGCCTGCAAATACTAAATGAAATTTAACGTTTACCTGTACAACTGGTTCAGGATCAGTTTGTTCGTTAATGAGGGAACCTGCAATACTAATGTCATCGTACTCCTCTCCATCCAGAACGGATAATTCATCATGATTTCTGGTGTCCATTCCACGAAGGCAACGTCCACATAATTGGCCCCGTCTAAAAATGGATTTAATATATTAATGTATTTAATGGATTAAAATAGATTAAAATTTGTATTAATTAAAAAAAAAAAAAAAAAGAAAAAAAAATTCCAATCATGTAGGTTATTTTAAATATGAGGGAACACACACCTAACTTCCTCGAGGGTATTTATTTCATCTTGCAAATTCTTCACGTCCTGTGCTTTGCTACGCCAAAAAGTTAATTGCTCTTCCAAAGTACTATTCTCTTGTAACAATGTTGTCAATTGTTGACCAAGCTCAGCAACTTTTTTTTGTTCTCTAGCTCTTTGACTACGAGCTTCTTGTAATTGAATTAATAGATCCGTCAGTTCTTCTTCGTTCGAGGCTGTCGTTACAGGTTGTTGTAAATTAGAATCGTTATTGGTTTCTTGAAAAACATTTGGTGAGCTCGGGGCAGCGCTCTGTCAAAATATTACAGTTTTGTATATTATATGTATCCTTTTGTGTACGTATATGTATAATATGAAATTGACATGTCGGATAATAATCGATTCGGAAGAATTTATTTGTTATAACAAATTTATACCTGTCGTATGCTGCCACCAGGCGTTACCGCTGCTTTCCAAGAAACTGATTGCATTTGAACGACGGCAGGATTTTGATTTGCTGTTTGCTGACGAAGCAATACTTCTCTCTGTGATGTAAGATCGTCGATTTTCTTTTGAAGTTCCTCGCATCGTGTCTCGAGATTTTCAATAGTTAAGCTTTGACTAAAAATAAATGTGATTAAAAATTTATTTCTTCCTTATTATATTATTATTATTATTATTACTATTATCATAGAAATGTGTGACATATTATAAATTATGTTGCTCTGTCATAGAAATATCAAGTATAGTTTCGTTGTCGATATCTCGTATGCATAAATAAAATCAAGTGTCGTATTCGTGAAAATTTTCAAAATAAAATATAATAATTTAATAATATAAGACGTACAATGGAGAACGTATAAATATAAACATACTTTTTTATTAGCTTTTTATCGCCAGTATTCTCGACGACCAGACGATGATTGGCACGCTCCAAATCTTGTATACTGACTTCTAATTGTTCGTAAATCTTAAGACGCGAATCATTGACTTCCCTCAATGCGGCAGTTTGCTTCTTCATATACTATAAAATAATTAATTACGCAATAATTAATTTAATCGTATATCCATGAATGATGTAAGAAAAAAAAAAAAAAAAGAAAAAGAAAAAAGAAAACAGGCAGATCTTCGAAGAAATTTACTTCTATTTCTTGCGCTTGTTCCTCGATCGTGGACTGATGAATTTTGATTATATTCTCGAGTTCCTTATTCCGTTCTAACAAAGTCTTGCCAAGTTCCGCTGCTAATTGAAGATCTGAAATGAAATAAATATATAAATAAACATAAGCACATTAGTCGTTTATATTCAATTAACAAGCGTATGAACATGCTATTATTTTATTTTTCTATACGTCGTTATAGACATCCTGTTTTGTTTATGAATCTTATAAGTAATACACTTATAACACGTGCGCTTGGGAAAAATTTCAATGACGTATTCAAGCACTTGCCATGGGTATATTTACTTGTTAAAAAAAAAAAAAAAAAAAAAAAAAAAAAAAAAAAAAAAAAAAAAAAAAAAAAAAAAAAAAGGAGGAAAGTAAAACAATGACCTTGCGAGGGAAACGGAAATGTATGTACATACATAAAACAAAGTCTCAAATGGTTGAACTTTTAAGTCCAAAGAGTGATAATCTTTTTTCCTCATAGAACGAAACGATCCTCTCTATCGAAGTAAGTATTTTTATCAAGACGAGAACGGAGATCGTTTGAAAAGTTTTTAACGATCGTAAAATTAATTTCGCATCTTAAATCGAGCGTTATCGATTAATATGATATTCATTGGGATCCAAAGATCGACGACATATATACGTATTTTTAATATATATTAGAAAAAAATTTAAGAAAAGAAAAAAGGAAAAAGAAAAAACGCGATTGAATATAAAAAAAGTTTCGAGAGAAAAAAAGAAATAGATAAAGAAACACTTGTTTCTCTCGTCTAAGAATTTCGTAATCTTCGTTTGACTAAACGAAGCCCTTCCTCGCCTGCACGAACATTGACATCGTTCCCTCGTTAACAAGCTCACAGGGTTTCCTCTTTCGAACGAACGTAAGTATTGCGAAGAGATGAGATACCCAAGAGAGAAAAAGAAAAAAGAGAGAACAAGACCATAAGCTTTCGTCGAAATATTTCATCTTCTCCCTTCCTCTCTCTAAAGAATTTCCTTATTTTATTCGCTAATGATTCAATTGGAACATTCAATCTTTGTATGTATACCTTCCGGTCCTTGAAGACACGCCAGTTCGATGGAATAATCCCAACAATCTAAGGAATTCATTTGCGTTTGGGGATCCCAAACAACATCCACACTGGGTCCGCTCATGTTAACGTTTGACTTATTTTTCTCACTTTTTCTCTTTCTTTGTCCAGTAACAAGAATAAGATAGAAAGAGACAGTAACAATCAAGAAAGAATCCAAATTTCAGTCGCACTATTTTATCACGAAGGAACACAAACAGATTTGATTCGATTAAAGTCGTCGTACGATATAAACTTTCATGCTTTTCGTGTGTTTCTGGGAAAAAAAAAAAAGAAAAAAAGAAAAGCAAAAAAAAAAGAAGAAAGAATTTCCCGAAAAACTCCCGAAAAACTCCCGAAAAACTCCCGAAGAACTCCCGAAAAATAAATAAATAAATAAAAAATACGAATTTAAACGAGAACTTATAGTGTGAGCGCGCGCGCGCGCGCCTCCTATTTCAGGTTATCGACCAGCACAGCAGTGCACGACCGGTTCCAACGAAGGCAACCGCTCTTCTGTAAATCGGCAGGTAAGCGAGTATCTTGTACGACTGAAACGTTCCGTTCACGCACCTCCAACCTCTTCTCCGATCTCCATCTCCCCCTAACCCCTCTCTCTTAACTTACTACTCCTTCCTTCTCCCTTTCTCCCTCTTTCCAGTATTTCTTCTTCTTTTTCTACTTCTTCTTCTTCTTCTTCTTCTTCTTCTTCTTCTTCTTCTTCTTCTTCTTCTTCTTCTTCTTCTTCTTCTTCTTCTTCTTCTCTTTCAGCCTTTTCCTCTTCCTCGTGTCGACGATGAACCACCTCTCTACCTTTTCTTCCCTTCCCTCTCCCGCCCAAATACTCTGGCACTCTCGCTTCGTTACAACTTTTCTCTCTCTTCTTGTTCATCATCATCATCATCATCATCATCATCATCATCATCATCTTGAGTCGTTTCAGTATTATTTTATGTGATCATACTTATGGGGATGGAAGATGATCCACTTTTAATCGACTTTTTTTTATTGAACATTCTCACCATACTAAATTCCTCCTTTCTACCCCGTAATTTCGTGTCTTGATTGAAGGTAAAAGTATTATCAATGCCTTCATTTTATAATCATAGCTGTGTTATGGGGTAAAATTTTATCTCATATACTAATGTTATTCAGACATTGTAACGATTAGTCACTTTCATGTCGATCATACTTAAGAGAGATAAGATATTTTTTGTTTTTCCCCTTTGATTTTCTTATCCCTCTAAACTTTTCCCTTTCATCCATCCTGTAATCTCTTATGCTTGCGAGCTAAGAGATAGAAATGTTTTCTTTTAAAGTTTCCAACAACATCGTTATCTACCTAATATCTTAGCTATTTATCGCAAATGAACTTTTACCCAATATGACTAATTTTCGTTGTAATATCATTAAAAATTCATTGATTTAGGATATTTATTTGGATCTATCGGTAATGGTAACGTTATAAAACATATACTTTCTTTTTCTTATTTTGTACATATAATTGACGGTCGCATTATAAACGATCGAAAATAAATTTAGAGATCTTTATGATTAGAACAGATACATCTGATCTATGTGTACCTTTTATGGTTGAAACAATAAACGTATGAAAGTAATATCTTATTGTTAAAAGGAAAAGATGTCTGCGTCGTTTAATTAATTGGAAGTAAGACGCGAATCGCCGAAACAATTAACGTCCGCTCGAACTGCACGGGTGGCGCGGGATGGAGCGACAGCAAGTCAAAACAATGTGTCTTTTTAGCCACGATCGTGGTCTTCCGCTTTTACTTTCCATTCCTGCTTCCCTTTTACCCGCTGTATCCTATTTTTCGACTTTCTCTTTGATTCAATCACAAACCTCAAAGTACCTTTTTAAATCGCACCTATGAAAAGAGAGAACCTGCTATCGTGAGAATTACCTTTTTTTTTGCGTTTAAATACTCTCATTAGATACTCTCCATATTGCATTGATCAGAATGATCGATTTTATTTTTTCGACATTACAATACGCCATAAATAAGGTACAATATCATAATGTATAACGAAAGATGTACTAAGATTTTCTATCGATCTCATGATAATTAATTGATAAAGCAATAATAGTATAGTCGTAATAAATTAATAATTATACAATATAATAATATCCCACGTAAAAATATCCATGAATGAAACGTATCAAGATTCGCACGCATATAAATATATATATAAATATATAAATAAGGTATTAATCTCGAAGAAACATTAATTAACTTACACTTATATACCATTGAAGCAACCCGTAAAGATACGAATCAAAGTTCGAGAGAGTCGCTTCGATTAATGAACTCATCGAGAAATGTAATAATAACAATAACAATAGCAATAACAATAATAATAGTAATAATAATAACAATAATAGTAGGTGGCAAAGGTACATCTTTCGTGCATCATTGTACGGAACGTGACCCTCCCTCCCACTCCCGCCCTTCCTTCCTTCCTCCTCCTCCTCCTCCTCCTTCTATTTTATCCCTTCTCTCGTTGATTCGTACGTCGTCCTTATTTTATGCAACTGTGTTGTAACGACGCGATTGTTGTTCGAAGTACTCTCAACGAACTCGCCAATTTATGTTAGATTCTCGGTAAATAGATAGTACCTCCTCTCTTCGCGTTTAATCTTCTCAATACGCGACTGAGAAATTTCATCATGATAAACTCGATCCTTCATTATTTTTTTTCATAGATTCGACAATAGATTCGATTTGAATTTAATATAAAACTAATTTCGAGTAAACTCCTTTCGTACATTCTAAAATGGATGTAATCTTACGTAACGTTAAACAAGCAAGTCTTCGAATCTTCTTTATTTTTCTTATTTTTTTTTATCACGTACTAAGTACCAAGTACAAAGTACCAAAGTTTAATAAAATTTAGGGAAAAAAAAGGAAAAAAGATAAAAAGATAAATCAAAATATTTGTTATTTCTAAGCACGAAATAATCGAGTTATCCAAGGAGATATACATATATACACACATGCTTACATTATCAACATCATTAATAACAGGTTTATCTCGAACTCATTCGAGCACGAAATCAGTATGATTTAAGGCGGACTTATGTTAGTTTATCGACTTACTATAAACCTATGTACGTTCACCAATTTGTTTCTCTCTATCTCTATCTATCTATTTATCTCTCTATCTATATGTATTTGTCCCTTTTTCTTTCTATTCTTTCGAGAATAAATAATATATATATATATATATATATATATATATATATATATATTCATATTATAGCTAAAGGTTTTGTTATGGAAATAATGGACGAATTTAGAACGGGCAGAATTAGTTCCTGGTCCGGTTCTTTTCTCCTAAGTTGTTTCACACCGCAAGACGTGCACTTCTCGTGCACCCGAAAGGTCAACTCGGATACACATTCACCTGTTCACCATTGAATCCATATCCCAACACAATGCCCCTTTCTTTTTATTACGATCGATAAAGATTAATAACGTTTCGAGAGTATCCACTTGCATTCTCGAGAGAAAGTAACACCGTGAGAGATTCGATTCTTCTATTCAAACAGATTGAGCATAGGTCAAAAGAGGTTATTCAAAATGAAAGATTGTGGTTCGATTACTTCTCGTTAAAATTATGTCTTATTCTGTCCGAATCAAAAAAGGAAATAGAAAAAAATCATTGTCTTTCGATCGATGGATCATCCTGAGAAATACATACATTGAAGAGGGTGGGAGATAGAAAAGGGATTATTAAAATCGACATATGAAAATCGATTACTTTTCATTAAAATTTTGTCCGAACAAAGAAACGAAATCGATCATTAAGCTTTGATCGATGGATCATTATAAACGATGCATTGGATGGGGTCAGAAAAGGTTATTAAAAGTGAAAGATCGAAGTTAATTGCTCCTTTCCTTATTAAAATTAATCCTCGTTGAAATTGTCTTTTTTAAGAAAGAAAAAAAAATCATTGTTTTTCGATCGGTGAATTATCATGAACACGTCAAGGCATTGGAAAGAGAGAGAGAGAGAGAGAGAGAGAGAGAGAGAGAGAGAGAGAGAGAGAGAGAGAGAGAGAGAGAGAGAGAGAGAGAGAGAGAGAGAGAAAGATAGAGAGAGAGAGAGAGAGAAATAGAGATGGAGAGAGAGAGAGAGAGAGAGAGAAATAGAGATGGAGAGAGAGAGAAAGAGAGAGAGAAAGAGAGAGAGAGAAATAGAGATGGAGAGAGAGAGAGAGAGAGAGAGAAATAGAGATGGAGAGAGAGAGAAAGAGAGAGAGAAAGAGAGAGAGAGAAAGAGAGAGAGAGAGAAAGAGAGAGAGAGAGAAAGAGAGGATTGTTCAAAACGAAAGACAAAAGACAATTACTCCTCGTTAAAATTACGTCTTCTTCTGTCTGAATCAAGAATAGTAATAATGATAAAAAAAAAATCGTTGTCCTTCGATCCATAGATCATCATAAACGAAGTCTCTCTCTTTTAGTATAATATCTCACACATGTTAATCTCCGAGGAGGAGCATGCGATGAAAACGTATGGAAGGACGTTCTCGGGGTTGTAATTACAGCTTTGTATCTTTCTGAAGATGGTGAAGAGAAGGAGGTGATGGTGGTAGTGATGGAGGAGGAGGAGGAGGAGGAGGAGGAGGAGGAGGAGGAGGAGATAAAGAAGAAGACGAGTCCTTCTACGAGTCGTTCCTCCATTGTGCTGAATAACTGCACCGTGAAAATAACGCGGGATAGAAACGAAGTTAAGTGGACGTTTCAAAGGAATTGCGTCTCTATCAAAACCGTCCATCCTTCTTTTCGTCTATACTTTACTATTTAAGTTCATTATTTATCCTTCACGCGTTTCTTGAGTCGAATAACATTGCGTGTTAGTAAGTCTTTCTTCGTGTCTAGTTTGTGAAGTATTTTTAAATCAAATTTAAATTTCTGTTAATATCATGGTGTTCTTCTTTTTTCGTTTTTTTCTTAGAAAATGTAGAATTAATTTTTTCTCGAGAAAATAAAATAACGAACACTGCGATTATGTTAAAAAAAAAAGAAAAAAAAAGAAGAAAGATCGAAAAAAATCAAAGTACAATTAATTACAATCGTAAAAAATGTACTCTTCAAAGAGTACTACCGACTGAAAAGAATAATTGACCTTTCGAGGAATCGATTCTCAAGAACTAAGTTTCTTTCGATAGATCGAGAGATAACTCACGATTGAATTCCAGTTGTAAAGACACGCGAAGTCTCCTCTTTAACTTCCTCAAAGAAATTCCTTCTCCTACGCGTTACCCGATCGAGGATAGCTCATTCGTTAAATCGATCACGAAGAGTCTCGATTTCGAGGAATCTCGATCCCCGTTCGACCGAGGAAAACGAAAGACTGAATACAAATGAACTTAGTTCGATGCTTATAAAATATATATATATATATATATATATATATATATATAAAATATATATATATATATATATATATACATATATATATATATTCTATGCGTCGAAATCCCTTGACATGATGTAAAAATAAAATATAACTTGGCTAATGTTAAGAGTTAAGAGAGTAACAAAAGGCAAGTCTCAAAACAAGTAATAATATTTTTATATTATAAAAATAGTATTTTACTAAAAATAGTATTTAAATAGTTTTATATTATAAATATAGCAAGTGTAATATTTTTATTCGAACTGACTAACCGATTAAAAATCAAACAATAAAATGATAAATTATAAAAAAAACCAAATTATTACAAACTTATTAATTTGTTTGGTTTTCCATTAAAAATAAAAATTAATGCGATAAAAGAATTGTCCGTTATTAACAATTTGTTCAACTAATTCAAGCAACTCTAGGAAAAAAAAAAAAAAAAAAAAAAAGAACCTCGTGATAAACGAGTGACAAATAAATTAGAGAGAAAGCTAAAGAGGATGAAGAGAAACATTTATGGGATAGAAAAATTGTTGACAGCTGTTAATACTTTTGTACTTTTCGAGTTAGTTACTTGAATATTCTAATTTTAATTCCAGATTTAGTTCTTAGTTGTTAGTTCAGTTATGAACGGTCTAATACTTAGGAGAAACAACCGAGAAAAATATTTCGTCGTCGAGGATGCATATCGACGAGGTTTAGCCGTGGGTAACGACCGCTATCGGTAATATAATAATATGCCAGCGCCATTCGGATCCTCCCAGAAGGCATCCAGCCTTGTTTTTCCCAGCTGATTCACAGATGTTAGACAATGACAACACAAGTAAGTAAGAGGAAGAACGGAGAATGCGCGGACAGTTACCTACCGTTATTTATGACTTTATTGCCATAATCTTCACTGTCTTATCTTTCAAAGGAAAATCTAAAGATATTCACAATACAATTACTACATATACAATACATTATCAATTAGGGGGATCGATATCGTTAAACATTCAACTCTGTATACATCGGTATTATCTAAATCGTTTATTATCTAGAAAAATTATACGTTTTCGAGATTACTTTAAGTCTTACTCAAGATATCAATAATCACCAAATATTTTTCTCTGTTAATATTTTTCTTTAGATATTTATTTATTTAATGTAAAAAAATTAAAAAAAAAATTTATGCGACGCGCAATCCGTTCTTAATAAATTACATAAGAGACACACGAGAAAAGCTTTTGTTACTTGATCCTAACGGAATTCTAACAGTTTTCGATAGAACATGCTCATCCTCAATTCACTTTTATGTTTAGTATTTAATAGACAAGTAACGGCCGACGACGAGGATAACTGATCGAAAAGATATTTATCTTATCTAAGATGAAAATTATGGGACGTTTACCAAAGTTATTCATAACTCATTAGAGTGCGAATGCGATTACGGTTATAAATATTTCTAACTTCTACTAATATTGGTAAACTTCGGAATTGAGAGAAAGAGACGGTTGGGGAAGATTTATTACAATCCACTTCTAATATGCAAGGTAAGTCAAATAATTTTGCCAATAAAAAAGTTATTTATAATAAAAATTTTATTATTAAAAAAAAAAAAAAAAAAGAAAAAAATCATTCGTAATAAATGACAATAAGAGACAAGTAAGAAAAGGTTTTGTTATTCGGAAACCTAACGGAATCCTAACAGTTTTCAATTGATCATACATATCCTCAATTTCGTTTTTAACGTTTCGTATTAATAATGAAATAACGGGTGACGACGAGGTACGATTAATCGAAGAGATATATGTCTCGAAAGATAAAGATTATAGGACGTTTATCGCAAAGACGATATTAGAACGTGACGACGAGGCTGGCCTCGAAAGTTGTAGAAGAGAAACGTCGACCCCTTCGGGCCATTGTTTCTATCCTTCTCGCACCTCTCAAACACGATCTCGTTTTATCATATATAGCACCGCGACTAGCGCACTGACTCGCGAATCCACTAATTACAGGACAAAAACTATACATATGGATACGATGATAATAGACATTTATGTGACACGCTTTGACCGGACAAATGTCAAGAGAATCGTGACTATGCTGACCTCAAAACACCGAGATGACGAGAAAGAAAGAGAGAAACCTAGTTCCAGATCGGTAAGAATAAAACGATTAAATCGATGGTGTCGTATCGATTTGATTCGCACGAAATCGATTGATATATATATATATATATATATATATATATATATATATATATATAATCAATTTATACTCAAAAAAGAACTTTTTCCTTTTCCTCCTTTCACTTGTATTACTTAGATCTTTAATTAATTTTCTAAATAATATTCCTTTTATAATTGAAAACATTTGGATAATTTTTAATACTTGTAGATACATAGGTATATTTCTTTTTTTATGCAGAGTTATAGACAATCGTATATTATAGAGAAAAGATGAAAATAAATATATGCGAAGAATATCTAATGACGTTCTAAACCGATTTAAAGGAAGAAATCTCTAAGGGAAAAGAGGCGTATCGCAATGCTACCTACACTCGTGTACTTACTCGCATGACTCACGACTCTTGTTTAGAAGTCAAAGGGAGTAAAGCGCCGTACTCGTTTCCGTCACACTGATTTATTACGTCATATATGGTACGTGCAATTTGATATAAAAGTATTTCGAAATCTACCGAGAGAAATACTCCTACTCAAAGTCCCTAGTGATATAAATCCAAAGATCTTTGTATCTAAACGGAGCGTAGGATCTTTCAAGTTTCATTAAAAATAAAATATAATAATTAATTGGCATTTCATTTATATAATAATATATATATATATATATATATATACGTTTATGTAATAATATTTTAATGATAATGCCTAAACAATAAAAATGCCTTTGTAACAATAAAAATGTAAGAGTAAAAATAAAAGAATATATTGGTGTAAACAAGCAGATATTATCTAAACGAAGATACGCGGAAGGGAATAAAATAGAATAAAATTCGAGTGATCAACGTGAACAAGAACAATAATAATATATACTTATGTAAAATAGTAATGGTGTATTATGGTGCTACTAAGTTAAGCTTGAACCTGACCACGTTGATCGACTTCCGAGACCAAGCGGTGTAATTCCTAAGCAAGAAACGGAAGTTACGAGAGAAGTCGGAGAGCTCTCGTTCACCATCATCATCTCGCGACTATAATACATACTAGCGAAGGAAACTCTATCGGCGAGAGTTTATCCGCCGCTTGGTTTTTAACCACAACACTTTCGAGCCCTCTCCTCCCTCAGTCCTCCCGCTACTTAGATTTCAACTCGGAGGAATCAAGAATCGACGACCACGAATGGTCTAGCCTAACAATAAGTAAGATCGACGACGTTCGTTAGTAAGTAAGTAACCAATGACTTAACTAAATGAGACTATTTTAAGACTCTTTCCTCAAGAAAATTATATACCTAGCCATATAGATATCCAATACCTATGACTTGTCGATCATTATAAGATTGACCTAAGTATATCGATTAATTTTAATTACCATCGATCATTTTTCATACATTATACCATCCGGTAATTTAATATTATACTATACTGTACTATATACAAAATATATTATATTACTAATCTGCAATACTAGCTTAGAATACTATCTAATACTATATTGTATCATATATATGCCTATCATGGCATATATCTATATATAATAATGTCAATTAAAAATATAATTCACATAGGTCAATTTCATCTAATTTCTGACCTTCTTAAGCTAACAATGGGACAAAAACTTCAGTGTTTTCTTTTTATCCCTAATTACTTTGACATGAGAGTAACATGTATTTTAGAATAATCATAAAAAAAAAAAAGAAAAAAAATAAAGCATGAATTTTCATAAATGTCTATCTCTCGTGTGAAATCGATTTACAAAGCATGACGAAGTAACACGCAAACAGGCAAAAGTATCATCCAATAGCTAATTCAAATGGGGATATCGTGCGAAAGGGAAGTAGATACAACAAGTATCGTGCATTCCAATGGATATATTTATGACCTACATAAGAATAGATAGATTTGTAAATCATGAAAAATATGAAACCATAAGAAATGGCTAATTAACTTCCCGTACCAACAGTGAAATCGAAAGATAAGAACAACACCTTCCTCGTCTCTTTCTCTCTTTCTCTTTCTTTTTTTTCTTTATGTCATTTTAACGCGTTAAATAAACCGTTAGGTTCACACCGATATAACTGGATTTTAATTTTATATTTATATTTTTCTATTATTTATACGTATAACATATGTTTCTTGTAAATAATGAAAATATTACATAGACGTAATATAATTATAAATATTTATTTAGATATATATATATATATATATATATATATATATAAATATGTACATTTCTCTGAATAAGTAATAATAAATAGAGGTGCGCTCGAATTGTTCGTTAAAATCTCCTAAAGTTAAATTATCGTGTTAATACGATCGTCGATGATTCATCATTATATTGTTTTCGAGCATCGATGAGTCGTAAAGATAACGAATCTAAATAAAAGGATGCATTGTATTGTATTTTAAAAGATAAAGGAACAAAAATCAAATTTGAATACATACGAGCGTGTACATATACGTATAGATATATACCTATATAGATCGTACACATATGTATAAAAAAAAATTTCTAGGCTTGTAGTTTTACAATATGAAAAAAAGAAATAAAACAATCTCTCCTTTCATTATCTCAAACTCATGAAACTCGATGAAAAAGGTGGGAACAGATTTTCCTTTTCTCTTTCTCTCTTTTTCTTCCATTTTCTTTTCATTCCTAAGATAAGAATTTGATTGCCATTTCACCTCGAGTTTTTCTTCAAGGACACAAGCATGATATCGACAAACGATACCTTCTCTTACCGGAAAGGACATCCGGCACTCGATTCGGAAAGCAACGCGTTGCGAACGACCTAATTAATACAGTCTAGTTTAATTCATGGGAAACTTGCTCATTCTAACCGTAGTAGAATCGTGTTAAATAAGTACGTATATAAGTACATATTCGTTAAAAATCATTTTAATCGTTTGAGGGAGAAGAAGAGAAACTAAACAAAAAAAAAAAAAAGAATCGTATTGTATCCCAATCGGGCGCGTTATCATACTACATGCAAATTTTACTAATGAATTTCCTTACATTTTTCTATAAACTAGTTACAACCACAATATTTTCTCTTTTTTGATTCAATTATGAATATAATCGAATGAGACTCTTCAGTTTTTTCCATTTCTTTTCTTTCATTTTTTCTTTGTTTTTTTTTTTTTCAATAAAAAATAAACGATTAATATATGTCAAGATATATTTTACAACCTGTTACACTTTTCGAGTACCACTAGAAACGTGAGAACTAATGTCTCGACAGCGAACGTGTGAGCCATACGGACGAGTAATTCTTCCACGAGATCCCTCAGCGATAATTTCCACCTACATCGTGCCATGAATGGAACGTGCTCGGTGCCGTTACGTAAAATTCTTAAGAGACTTATTCGTTCAATCAGAATCGCTCGTAATCCTATTACGTACGTACATTCGTACACATGGGTAATGAAAAAGGCGGGATTTTCTAATCGAAAGATTCAATCATATATTTTGTATACAATTCGATCGATAAACAATGACGAAATTTTTAATGAAAATAAATTAAACTTTGATAAAGAATCCTCGATCGAAAATAATGATAATTTCATTGAAAATTTTCAATGAAAAAAACTATTGAAAATTCAATTACAATTTTTCTAATAAAAAGAAGAAATTCCAACATTTCTTATCGTTTAGTCCCCGATGGATTCTAGATCGTAAAACGAAAGCAGCGTGTCAAGTAGACTTTTTTTCCAGAAAAACTAGCCCGTAACTCTCGCGATTGTGAATCGATTTACGGATCCGATATATAGGACATTAGAAAAAAGGAAAAAAAAAAAAAAAAAAAAAAAAAAAAAAAAAAAAAGAAAATCGACATTGGCAAAAAAGGTCTAACGTGTGACAGCAGTTTCTAAGTAAATTTACTCAAGTTCTCGATATCGAAGAAATATCTATCGAGTCGTTAAACTAATGATCTTTCGTGAAGTGATAGCTTGTGAAAATTGTCGAGGATATGTTAAACAAACGTTAAACGTTAGATCGAGGTCGAGTATTTCTAACTTTAGCGATAGAAATTCAAAACACGAACATACTCGTGATCGATTCTTTTCTTATTCAAAGCACGAGTCCATAGTTTATGAAAGATTCGAATCTCAAAGATGAGAGGAGTGTTATTATAACATGTAGGATCGATAATCTCAAGTCGACGGTGAACCTCGGTGAAGGTCTAATCTCGATGGAAATGATGGATAAAACGAAAGAGAAAGAGATAGGCGTGGTTAGTGAAGGACAAAGTGCATCTCGTAAAACAACGACACAACGTGTACACCTGCAAAGATATCGTAAGAGCTACTTCTAATGCAACCTTCTAAAGTATTATTACAATACTATTACATTCGTCGGTTCTCTTTACATCGACAAATTCGATCACCTTTTCCGATCCAATAAATATCTCGTAACGGTCGATGACATCTTTGAGAGATTTATCGAACGTTAAAATGCTCGTAGATCTTGTTTTCGATATTACAAATCGATCGATTCGATCTTCCGAATAAATCTTATGGACGATCGTTTGTTCGTTCCAATCGTTACAATCTTTTCTTATCGCCAGTCAAAATTATTACAATGAAATATATATTTAAAATTTTCTTTTTTTTTTATATATTACGAAATACAAACAAAAAAATTTAATTCCTTTACATTGTACGATTCTATTATTTCTCATTTTGTAGAATCGTTTGACTCTTGATTCTTTTTTCGTTAGTTTTTTTTTTTTGTTTCTATTTCTTTTTTGTCAATTGAAAAACAATAGTTCGTTAACTATAGAACACGCACATTGTCACGCATATGTACGCGGATATACACGTCAAAGAAGCAACACCACACCCTGCTGAACAAGAATCGTATGGCCGTGCAATGCGCCGGCGGTAAGCGACGATAGGAATGCGTATGAGCGGGATAATACTACGTGTATGCAACATATAAACGTGTCTAACACGCGAGCTCGCTTTAGAAAAGTTCGCACGGTAAGTTCGCACCCACGTCTAATACTAGAGAGAGAGAGAGAGGGAGAGAGAGAAAGAGAGAAAGGGTTACGTTAATCGTCTATTGGGTGCACACTAAATGTAAATAAAAAGAAAAGTTAAATATTAATAGAGTTCCTTATGTAATTACAATTAATAATCTCTACGATTATTATTATTATTTTTTTTTTTTCCATATTGCTACGCATATAATATCGCAATCGAACAATTTTTAATATTGCTGAGTATGTAAATACAAATAATCATGATAAATATGAAAATAATGTATGTAAAATTTTATAAAAACGAATGGCAATGAATTCTGCATTTTTCATACGTCTAACAAAACTATAATCAAACACAAATAATTCTAAAGTTTATCTATCAACTCTATCCACGTATTAATTTCGTACGCATCGACGGAAGTGCACACTGCATGGTCATCGCATCGTAACGCATGCGTGACTCGTCGAATTTTCATTACGCAATAGAATTCCTATACGTTATATTCCTATTAATATTATGAACAATAAGCGTGTTCTTTTGTTTCAAAGAATATTATTGAACTTAATGAAATCGAATACAATCGAAGACGATAAATTTAATTCTCGAAACACACACTTCAAGAAATGATAATGTACACGTTAGTAGTTGTTACGGTCACAGGAAAAAAAAAAGAAAAAAAAAAAAGAAAAAAAGATTCTGTGAGTTAGAACGAAGTAGAGAAAGAGAGAGAAAGAGAGAGAAAGAGAGAGAGAGAAAGAGAGAGAAAGAGAGAGAGAGAGAGAGAGAGAGAGAGAGAGAAAGAGCGACTCAATGTGAACGTGTAAGAATAGTCAACGTTGAAAATGATACACTTTAACACCCTCGGAAGATGTTTCAGGAAATGACAACGTACGCAGTCACAAGAACGAAAAAGAAAAACTAGAAACAGACAAATTGCAAGAGTTAGAACAAAGTTGAGAGACACAACATTCGAGCATGTACTTATTATGCGTTCTACCTTAAGGATAGTCAACGTCTCGAAAGACATTTCAAGAAATGATGACGTAGGCGTTTCAACTCAGTCCACAGGGAAAAGATAAAAAAAGAAAAAGAAAAAATAAAAAATAAAAAGTACAAAAATTGTAAGATTTAGAACAAAGTAGAGAGACTGAATGTGGGCATGTATATAGTATGTTCTACCTAAAGGATAGTCAACGTCTACTTGTTAGTAGCAAGTATTCCATACGTCGTTTCGTTCCAGGTCACAAAGTCTTTCTCTCTCTCTCTCTTTCTCTCTCCTCTGCATCTACATATATGTGTATATATATATATATATATATATATATATATATATATTATACATAAATATGTATATGTGTATTTGTGCTCCCTCTTTCCTCCCTATTTCTACTTGGATAGGCATTTGCTAGGGCATTGCCGGTACGGTTTCTCTTTCTATCCGTCTTCCTCTTCAGCCCCTTCCCCTCCTCCTCGTTCTTCTTCTTTTTTTTCTATTTCTCTCGTTCGGTTGGTTATCGTTAAGTATAGACCGGCGCTATGTGCACTCTGTACCGTTAGCAGGAATAATCGTACTCGTTGGCCGGTGCATTTACTACTAGCAGAGGAGGAGGAAGAGAGGAGGACGAACGTGTTGCGCGGAACAAACCGGCAAAGACTCCGACGACGACGACCGACCGATCGAATTCGCCTCGGTTAACCCCGGCTTAACGGTAAGATCGAAGATTCTCGATATGCTTCCGTACCTCGAAAATTATTCGCTTCCGTCTAATACTTTTGATAATTTTTATATATACATATATATATATTAAAATTATGAAATTTATCTAATCAAATTCGATTGGTTAATCAGCGATATATAAGCACATTGACGATTTTAATATCATTGTTATCTAAAGAAATAATAAACGATATCATAAATACTACGGTAAATAGTATAATAAAATATAATAATAATAATAATAATAATATACAGTATAAATACTATATACTGTTTACATTTTATTTTACTTATACTTTATATTCTGTATAGAATAATATTAACAAAGGGCAACATTAAAGATGCGAGAGTTGTAGTTTTATAATCTGAAAAGAAAAGAATTCGCTCAAAATTTATCGAAAAAGTAATAGATATATAATTGATTTTTAATATCGTCTAGGAATTCTTTTGGCCCACTCCTCTATACTCAAAATGTCATAAAAAATCATAAGTTAATTTAATATTTATTTTAGAACTAGTATGGTACCATTAAATTTCCTGTCGTGCTTATACATCCGCGCTAACGAGCACGTTGCTTTATGTTCACTGTAAGAGAAAAAGAGAGAGAGAGAGACGAGGTTGAGAGAAAGAGAAAGACATAATATCAGAGACCAACTCGATACGATCGCCTTGATTTCATCCGATCGGAGAACGCTGTAATAAGTAGAATCACAGATAGCAATCTAACTTCTTGATAGGTAGACGAAAAGGAAGAAGAACGTAAGTACTTCCACAGACACATATGGAAACACAGAAGCAAACCACACGTATATAAAAGATAGGAGGAATTCTCTAGGAAAGAGGAGAAAATCGAATGCATGACGTTTAATCGCTCGTAACACACGATTTTAAAGCCTTGTTTCACCTACAGCGTCACGTTTGTTTTATCTTCTAAATCTTCGCCGAACAACAATCGGCCTCTCGAAACTGTGAAAGTATCGGGAATAATCCTCCTACCTTTTTCCTTTCTCATATCCGACGTTTAAATACATCTTTCTTTTCGATTACGAGGGATCTACTTGTTTTTTATTTATTTTTTTCTCCCATAGAAACACAAAAGAATATTCCGTATCAGATTATTTATCTAAAAATTTCTGAAATATTCTTCCATATCTTATATAATTTATCTTTTCTTATTGTATTATAAGAAAAGAATTGTACAGGATAGCCCAAAAGTTCCTAAGCGAATCAAAAAATTTTCTAGATGATTGTAAAAATCAATTATATTAAGCTTTACGATTCGAAAAAAGTTAACCTAAAAAGTCAACGAAAAAAAGCAATTGATTTTAAAAATTACTTGAAAACTTTTGTTCCAACCTGTATATATTTTATTCTTGCTAGAAATGAAATTAAAAGAAATATAAAATATTTCATAATTCTAAAGAAACTTTTAACATAAAAATAACGTAATATCAAAATATTTCTAAAACATAGTAAAAATAAAACATAATAAGAATATTAGAATACATTAGAATATCATCGCCTACTAGAAATTCTAAACATTCATGTATGGATAACCATGAAATCATGATCTATCGTTTTCCAGTTTCCTTATCCTGCAATGGACTATACCAATCAACACGTATATGGATAAATATATCCTATTTATAGAAGGAACACATGTATCTAACGTCGATTCAAACGATTCGTGACAGCCTGGAAAGTTATCGATTAACACCGAATATGAACTGCAATAGAGCATTCACCGTTATCAATACATTAATCTTTATTAAAACTCGAGCGAAAAATATTACCTATCTGTACTGCTTATTGCACGTTTGTTTTTAATGTGAAAAAAAAAAAGAAAAGAAAATGAAATACAAAAAAAGAAAAAAAAATTAAAAAATTTAAGAAACGTTGGATTGTTCATAAATAAAGAAATAATAAATCCAGAAAAAAATGTAGTAGAAAAAAAATATATTAGCTGTAGTAAATAGTCATGTAGAAAAATATATTCTCGTTTATTTAAATACAAAATACTGAAAATACCGACATATTAATATTAAGGGGATCGGAAAGTAATATCGCTTTCTTAAATTACATTCAAACGAATAAATTTTTAACAATTTTTAACAATCAAATATCGACATGCGCAGAAACGATATTACTTTCCGGTCCATCTAATAATATTATAATATTATAGTATCTATAGCAACAATAAAAAATATTGGAAAAACTCTGACGTTAATAAATACTATAGTGTTATAGTATAATAATAGTTTATTTTAATTAGGTAATAAAAAATTTCCGATGAAAAATATTAAATACTGTGTTATTTATTCAAAAGAAGAAATACTTTCTCCATCTCTATTGAAAAATTTCCGTCTCTATTGAAAAATATCGATATTACTTGTTGGTCAAACACAAAACGAAAGAAAGTATCAAAAACGCAATGTTAAATTAATAGACGAGAGAAAGGCGGGTATAAAATTCATAATGAAAATACGCGACACATACGTTTTCGCAGCTAATTCATTTCTCGGTTCGGCAAAAACAATGGCCTTGTACATCCGCCGGAAGTGCTCCTTTTGCTACTACTACCGGATGAAATAGAAACCAGACTCTGGGTTATACACGTTTACTGCAGCCTGTATTATTCTGTTCGTATGTAAAAGAAGAAGGAAAAGATGATGAAGAGGAAGAGGAAGAAGAACAAGAAGAAGAACAAGAAGAAGAACAAAGAGAAGAAGAAGAAGAAGAAGGTGTTAACACGTCTCACGAGAAAGTGAAACGCTTATATACTCCCTCTCTCTCCCTCCGCCCTGTTTATTATTCTCTCTCTCCCTCTTTTTTCTCTCTCTCTCTCTCTCTCTCTCTTTTTCTTTGTCTCCGTATATGAACTAGCTTATTTACAACATACATACGCATTTCTAACTCCTTTTTACTCGTCGGTGAACGGTCGGGAAGTTCAAGAGAGAGGGAGAGAGAGACACATTCTCGTTTTCTTATTAAATCGCAAGAGAACGATCCTGTTGATAAGCTGATGACGAACGATCGTCGATAGACAACTTCGATCATATTTTTTTCTTTCTTTTGTAAACTCGATCAAAACTCCTTTTTTACTAATCTTTTTTTATTTAGAATTAACACTCTTGCAATGCAAACTCTCGTGACTTTCGGAATCTTTTCTTTCAACTTCCTAGATATCATATGTATGTATGTATATATATATACATGTGAATATATCCAAGTATAAACGAGAGATAAAATTGACTTCGTCGATCGGACAACCGTAAATCGTCCAATTTAATACTTGGGTAGAGGGATAAACAGGAGAAATTTCATCGATTATATATTTTCTCGAGAAATCTAAAGTTGAGAAGAAAAACGTACAAGTAAATTATTATTGAACTTATTATTTGAATAGGTCACAAAGAAGACATTAGGTTTTAGGTTAATAAATAATTTAAGAATATTTAATATTTTACAGCGCATCTTATTTCAATCAACGACAATGATATAGTATTGAATTAGTTGATGGAAGATTTGATTAGAAACGAATTTGAATACGTCAAAGAGAATATTAAATAGAGTTAATAAGTAAGAATTTTCAATATTTTACAACGCACCATTAACTATTTTAATGTAATAGCAATAATATAGTATTGGACTGATCGATAAAAGTGTCGATTAGAGAATTATTTGAATATGACAAATAAAAACACAGTATATGCTTTAACGTTAACTATAAAATACTAATTGTAATCTAGATAAATATTTATTACTTCGTTCAATCTCAATAAGTATTTACTGAAATGTATTAGAATTGGAGGGAAGGGGGTTGTGTAATAGGAATGTAGATTAAAAAAGAATTTATCTAGAAGAAATAAAATTCAAATTAGGATATTATTAGTACGTGTCCTCGCAAGATCTATTAATAAAATTGTAAGGAAAGTGTGTTAACCATCGAAGACATATGGAGGACATTCTTAACTGTTTCTTTGCGTAGCTATAATGAATTTATGCGTTTCTATGTTTTACTTAATTGCATCTGTGCCGACAATTGTAGCCGACTCCACGGCGTATGTCATCGCAGGTGGCACGCATTTCCTTCGTTCTTGCCGTTCTTATGCGTTCCTAATCGCGAGAAAGTGAAATGGCTTCCCGTATCTTACCAACCCTCTTCTTTCTCTTTTTAACATATACGCTATCCGATTGATTTCCTTGGATGCGTTTGAAAAGGAAAACTATGTATTTTAATAAATTGTTATAAATGTTAACGAAAGGTCTATGTGATTCTATTAATATTTTTATATCTGCTCCTTTTTCTATTTTATGATCCATGCTTTGTGTATGCGATAATAGTATGCGATAATAGTAAACTGTATAGCTTATTTTATTATATCTAACTTTATATACGGCTTATATGCGTAATACAGTATATGATTTACTCTATGATTTGTCATTTTTTACATATACAAATTTACCAATTATTAATATTTTATTATCCAAGAATACTTTAATGTATACATAGTAATTGACTAAAAATACTAAATTGCTCAATGACCATATATATATATATATGTATGTATGTATATATGTATATAATAAATGGGAAAATTTATTCGTGCGAAAACTTAAACGTACGCATCGACTCGCTTATCGTTATAGACAAGCAAAAGCACCTGGATAAATTTGTAAATGGAAGTGACGTGGCGTAAATGATCTTCGCATAGTGTAAAAAGAAAGAAAGGGAAGAGAGAGAGAGAGAGAGAGAGAGAGAGAGAGAGAGAGAGAGAGAGAGAGAGAGAGAGAGAAGGCAGGGAAAAGAGAAGCATGAACGTAAAGAAATATCCGACAAGCCTCCTACGCTATCGAGTGCCTATGCAGTCTCTCGATAATTCATACTGTTCTTGTTTAAAATTCTTATTAACTCTCTTGTTCATGCAACGCGATCATGACTATGCATATTTCTCAGTAGAATAAACACTATCGTAAAAAAATAAAAATACATGTTTGAGAACGTCAAAACATTAGTGCACAAATATTTACATATTATATCATATTGTACAAATATTATATTTGTAATATATTAAATTTGTGTGTGGTGAATTCATTGAAAAAATTAACATTTTCATAAAATAAAAAATAAAAGATAATATATAAACACACACACACACATACACACATACTGTAGTAAAATTTCACTAACGATGGAATATTAACATGATTTTTGTTATTATAAATGTTAAATATTAAATTAATCTTATATTATACATAATGTATATAATTATTATTATATGTAAAATTAAAAAAAGAAAAAAAAACACCGTTATAAAAAGATGAAAAGAACGTAAAACCAAACTTTCGATCATTATTAATAAAATGAAATATGTTCGTTACGGACATATCGCGTGAATATTTATTATCGTAGTAATGATGATAATTATCAACGATTCAGTCGTATCATTTAACAGAACACTCTCCGTGAGAAACAAGAATCGAAAAAAAGGAATAAAAAAAAAAAAAATAAATAAATAAATAAAAAATAACCAAAAAAAAAAGAAAAAGGAAAAGAAAAAGAATAACAGCTAAGTTTAACGCGCTGGAAAGTGAACGACCGTGATAGTTTCGCAGTTAAATAAATCTTTGGTCGAGAGTTGTTCTCGAGAGACAGGAAGCTGATGGAAAGTCGATGGATCACCACGCGTCGAAGACGATACACGTAAGTACTTACGATCGTTAAACGTTCATTCGAAATGTTAACGACTTGGAACATTTTTCGGATTTATAGTTGCAGAGATAACTCTCTCCGATTTCAATAAATCGCGAAAGCTAATAAAATATTTCTATTAGTTCGATACGTTCTAACGAATGTGTTTATCTGGAGAGAGGATGAACATTCACTTATATTTTATACTTATCGAGTATCTTTCATATACCTTTCTAACATTTTTTTAATCAGGTACACACACACACACACATATATATATATATATATATCTGAAATATTTAAAGTATTTTTATCAATGCAATATTGCTATCGTATAAGCGTTGTATTTTATTAAAAATTTTTATAATGCAATATGATAAAATGTAATGTCACATCAGAATAGATATTATTAAAATATACCATATTCTAGAATTAAATATCTCCTATTGTATTCTATCGTAATGTTACGTCGTGGAAATATTACATAATTTTTTATTATTGTCAAGTCATTCAAAAACAAACGATGTTAAACCAGTCAAACTATATAATAGCTAAATATAATTATTGTTAACGATAGTTTAGAAATGAATTCGAAACTAAATGTTACTTAATAGCTCATCATTATCTGCAACTTACGTCAGATCTATATATATATATATATATATATATATATAGATATAGATCTGACGTAAGTTGCAGATAATATATATATATATATATATTCTGTTATCAAAGGGTTATTTTCCCATAAAAATATCCCAACTAAATGACTTTCTATAGCTTTCTCTACGAAGAACGAAATTTGTTCTCTATGATATGTTATCGGAAATATACAGTACAAAGATACACGTATATATTAACAAAATGAATAAATCAGAGCAATGACATTGACATCACCCACATTTTGTTTCTCTGGATGGTTTTCTTAGCCTTCCGATTCGAAAGAAAAAAGGAGAAAGAAAAATGGAGAAAAAAAGAAAAAAAAGAAAAAAATAATTCTTATCCCTATCGGCGACCGGTTGCTTTCTCTTCTCTCACCATTGGTCGGAAGAATAAAATGAATGTCCCTCCAATGAAAAGTCTAAAGCCGCAGGCTAATAGAAATTCAAAAAGAATTCTTGAAGGATCCGAGAAGTTATCGTAGTACGATTTTAATTATCCTATAACGTGAAATTGATTATACTAGGAAGAATTATATTAGATCTTCGATTTGCCCAATCGGTATATATCA